CCGGGGCTCAGCTGAGGAGATTAACGTTCTTGTCTGTCTTTTCTGGTGGCAGGATCTTAATTTTTTTGTACCTGATTTCCTCAGGAGAGAAAGATCTGCTGAAATCCCTTACCTGAGTGAGCGCCTGGCCCTCAGGGTCTCCGCTGTGAGGTGCCTGTGGCTCTGTGACCCTCCAGGCCTGGGCACACCCTGCAGTGCCCTCGGCTTGGCACCCACCACCAGGCTGTTTCTACTGTCAGGAAATGGGGCTGCCCGCCCCGTGGAAACCTCTGCTGGGTGTTGTTGGTCTCTGGTCTCCCCAGCTGCAGCCTCGTCCCATCCCCACCCCCATGCTTTGTGCTGATGCATCTGCAGCATCGAATCCCTGGAGCACATCAGCCGCCCCAGGCAGTGCACCCACATCCACACGGGCACATGTGGGAGGGACCCTGTGGAGGGAACAAGGGAGCAACGACCACGGCCACAGTCCTGTGTCCGAGTCCGCTGCTCCCAATGCTGCCCTTCCCTCTCACAAGTAGGTGACTTGTCCTTCCCAGCCTCTAGTTCTCAGCCTGAGAAATGGGGACCACAGAGTCCACTCTGCACACAGGTGATCCATGGGGATATGAGCCAGCAGGACAAAGGGAAAGTTTGCTAACAGACTTTTCTGTGTGCATCAGAGTGATATTTATTGTGAATGTTTGATTTATTGAAAGATTTATTTCCATTTTACTGTGATTTATGTGTCAGGTCACAGAGATCCGTGTTTCCTGCTTTCTTGCTTTCCCTGATCTGAGCACATCCTCAGGGCAATCTAAAGCTGGCCACTCTCCATCCTGCGACACTGAAGACACACACACATTCGATAAATACATTTTTTTTTCAAAACACTTATACTCTCTTTTCATCTTTCCCCATTGCCTGTGACAAAATCTTTTAATGTTTCATATTAAAATAAATATTAATGGATTCAGCTTCCATTTAAATATATAATCTGCAGTATCCTGTCTCTCCACGTAGTTTCATCTCTGAAACCATGACAAGTGCATGGAGCAGCTATCTGAGCATCAGGAAAGGAAATGGTATGCAGCAGTTTGTGATGGCCCCAGCAGATGAAATACACCAGAGTCAGAGTGAGACTCCTGGATTTCCTGTGTCCCCTGGCTGGGACTCCAGACAACCCCACACCTGAAGCGGCACAAACCTGAAAAAAAAGTCCAAAAAGCCCTCTTGTTCAGGATTGAAGATAGCTTATTTGGCTCAAAGTGAAGGCTCAGTCCCCTGCACAAGCAGGCGGTTCACACCTGGGTTCTCATCTCTCTTACACCAGCCTCTCCCTGGGTTCACACTGATTTCCAATGGGTGGAGAGGGAACTTCCTGCACCAGATGACTCCACAGCCCCATAACCTGAAGCCATGCAGACCAGTACTGTCCAATCACAATATGATGTGAGCCTCATGGGAATCCCACTGTCTAGTCACCGCATTATAAATACAAAGAGAAGAAGTCAATGAGTTTAAATAATGTATTTTATTTATGTAGCATATCAAACAGTATCATTTTAATATATAAGTACAATTTTTTATGATACATATCATATACCTTGCATGGTTATTGTTATTATGTTTTGAAGAATCTGTGGAGATTGTGTGGCTGATGGAGATGTGAATGGGTTTCTTGTTGACAAGGGTGGGCTGTAGTGGCTTTTTAAGTGTCAACTTTGATACACTGAAGGAGGGATAGAAAGAATGATTTTTGCACAGGATGTGGAGGGTGGAGGTGGGCAGGATCCATCCTGTGGTCCCTGCATGGGGTGAGGCTGCTCCCCTTGCCCTAGGTTTCCCTGCAGGGAGATCTGACTCCAACTCTCCCTCAGAACCCAGAGCACTTGGCAACTCAGGCTCCCTTTTCATTCCATACAAATGCAAGAAACACTCAGATCTCATTGGACATGGGGTACTCACATTGCTAATTTAGGAATAAACGGGTGCTTTCCAGTGTACAGTGGCCTCCTGAGGTCCCGCATGGCCCATGTTGGGGATGGCTGGTGACCTTAATTTGGGTTCCCTGGTAGCAGACTCTGAGATGGGGAATTGCATGCACAGAGGATGTGAAAGGAGGTGAGGGAGGTAACACTGGGCAGAAGGAGACCCCGACCCTCATTGAGGCCTCAGTCTTTCCTACAGGGAGCTGTAGAGCTGGGAGGATTTTCAGGTCCTCCTATATCGAGGCAGAGTGTTGAGATCTTGGCCTCAGGCAGTCATGAAACCTAACCTCGCTGAGGAAGGGCATAAACCTGGAGGAGGCAGTTTTCTGTGCTGAGCCGCACTTCCCAGTGAAGGCACAGCTCTCAGCTGCCACAAGCTCCCAGCAGTGCTGGGTGGCTGAGCTCAGAAGAAAGAATCTGGGCAGATCCCACAGTGTCCACTTCACTGGATTTTCTGTAGAGAATGCCGTGAACCTGAGCTCATCTCTGGGGACTGATCCAGGATATTCAGGCCAAGGACTGGCTTGTCATGACCTGTGGAAATCCAGAGACCAGCTGAGGAGTATCTACCTCAGTCTGATGATTCAACCAGACCCCATTTCCCTAAGTCACAGCTGAGTCTCCACACCCCAAAATATCCTGGTCAGCTAAGTCCTAAATCCGCTCTTGACGCCCCCTCTTCAGAGTCTGCCTGGAGGGCTGGAGGGACTCAGATCCAAGGGTCTCAGAACCATGTGTACTGGGCCAGCCCTGCTCATGAATTTGTCCACAGTCTTCCTGGCTGGAGGAAATGTCCTATCCTGGTCATTTCATCTAAATGATGGATTGTGTCATTAGGACACTTGTTACCTATTTCAGTGAGAATAGTTGAGTCATGTAAGGAACCGCTCACCCATGTGGAGTCATCAGGACATCTGGTCTCATTTCACCCATGGTACTGATCCTTCTAGGCCATCCCCTTCCCCACAGTGGACCAGCCATTGCCATCCTCAGCTCTGCCATTGTTTATTTATTTTTCACATCAATAACTTATGTATACTGGTTAAAAGCACCAGGGTTCTCTATCCAGTGTGGTTTTCTGGTGCTTTTTACAAGTTTACATGAAATATTGATGGGAAATCCATTAAGCCCAATGGTCTCTGTGAGAATCCCAGGGACACAGTCTTTGCACAGGGTGTGGGCTCCATAGGGTGGGTGGTCCCTGGTCCCTGCAATGAGGTGTATCCTGTCACTGAGCCAAAGACCACCTGGTGGCCAGAGCTGTGGCCTGAGACTGGTGAGAATTCCCTTCCCTGTGGAAACCGTCTCCTCAAGGAGGCTGGGGATGTCCCATCCAGGAACCAGGGTCCTGAGTGCGCCACCCCACCCACCTGAGACTCCCCTGAGCACAGGAGCCGCCCCCTGAATCAGAGTATGACTGGAGCTGGAAGGAAAGGCAGAGGGAGAAGGGACAGGGGAGCCTGTGGAAGTGCCCAGGACTGAGGACTCAGCGCCTCAGAATGTTGCTGAACAGAGAGGGACAAGACCCTGAGAGGGGCAGGAGGCTCAGGCAGCCATCCTGGGTGAAGGACTTGGGTCCTGGGAGCCCCATCTCCTCACACTGTGCCCTCCTCCTAGAGCATCTCAACCTTGGGGCATCTCCCAGGGAAATCCAGCCCTTTCGGAGCTGCCCAGGCTGACACCAGGGCCCGAGTGTCTCCAGCTGCATTTCCCAGGTAAGGTCCTCATATTCCCCATCTCCTGTCAGTTGGGTGACACTATGTAAATCTAGCACTCAGGATGGGGTGACTGCAGCCCGAGGGGATAGGATGCACTTTACTGGGCTTCCAGACCCAGGACTGATCCTGGAACACCTCTCGAGCCTTCAGGGCTGGCCTCCCCTCTTAGGCTCCTCCTGGGCAGCCACAGACTCTCTTCTGGCTGCAGCTCTGCTGCTCCCTGCTGGTCAAGAAGAGGGAACCCAGGAGCTTCCATCCTCTGGGTGACCCCAGAACACCTGACACCTGGGAGGATGAAAACTATGGAGTCCAGCCTCAGTCTGTGCCATATGTGAACCCCTCAGGCTCAGCACAGAGAGGTGGCATATATGGTTGCAGGGAGGTGGGGCAGGTGCATTTCTGGTAACTGAGTCTCAGGTTGAAACGCTCTTCTCTGTTCCATGGTTTTTGATCACAGAATGGAGAGTGCAGGATAAACTGTAGATCTTCTGGGAAAAACCTAAGTGCAGTGAAATGCGGTTCTACCCACATGTACTCCTGCTTCCCATGTATACCGAACACAAGATTGATTTTCCCACCCCAATAAGAACGGCTGCACTGTAACTGGAGCACCTGCTGTTTCTGTCACTAAACGTCAGTTGTGTGCTTCAACCATCATCACCATCATTGTCATGGTATTTTTTCTATTAATCAGAAGAACAAGAAGATTAAGGTAGAAAATTATGACCATAAGTAGGTGGGAGCTTTCTGTGTTCAATCCACATAAAAGAAACTCTATAGCATTCCGTATAACTGTAGCATGGTTTTATTTTTCCTTATACACTTAAATATTTATCAAAAGTTAACATTTCAGTGATTAAAATTGATACCTTTCTTCCATAAGATTTTGATCATTTTTACATGTTTGATGTGAAACTGTGCTTCTTATTGCTAGAAGGCCTTTTCTTCCCTGTAGGAATAATCAAAATGACTTTTAATCCACATTAGGCCCCTGTTGGATCGCAGGCCCCAAGTGGATTCCTAGGCCCCAGGTGCACATCAGGCGCAGGTGTACATGCAGGCCCTGGGTGGACTTACCTGTGTACAGGTAAGGAGCTGACCTGGGGGGAGGGTGAGCAGCCAGCAGCTCAGGGGTTTCTTATGGAAGGAAGTTCTTATAAGTAGTTCTTATGGAAGGAAGGAGCCGAAGATACGGAACCTTAAAGAAGTAAGTTCACTTCCTTGGTGACGGACCCTCAAAGAACTTAGAACTCTGGTAACCAGGCACCCACATCCTAAGGACAGCCCCACAGCGTGCTCCCTTGGTGGGAGACGATCAGGAGAGCACGATGTTCTCATGCTGCATCCCCACATCTCGAGGCTCCTGCTTCAGGAGGGCCCCGAGTGAGAGCCTTTCCCACGATGCAGACACAGGCTCATCCCTCACCCCAGGCACCTCTGGCCGAAGGTGCCGTGAGGTACCACAGGGTAGCCCAGGGCAGGCTCTACCAGGCCAGGCCTCACCGGTGATCCCATCGGGGCCACATCTGTGCATTGTCCTTGTCCAGCTGGAGCCTCTGGAGTTCCTCTAGGCACAGGCACACGGTGAGGCAGCCTATAGTGTCAGACTTTGTGGGGGCATTTTCCTCCATCTTGGCACATCCTTAAGGAACCAAAAAACTGACCTCTCTGAACCTTGCAGCACTGAAGACACACAGTCTGTACATACGTTTTTGTTTTCTTTTTCTTAAAATGTTTTTAATCTGTTTTCACCTTTCCCACTGCCTATGACAAAACTCTTTCAACATTTCATATTAGAAAAAACGATTGGGCCGGGCGCGGTGGCTCATGCCTGTAATCCCAGCACTTTAGAAGGCTGAGGCAGGTGGGTCACCTGAGGTCCAGAGCTGGACGCCAGCCTGACCAACATGGTGAAACCCCATCTCTACTATAATACAAAAATTAGCTGGGCGTGGTGGTGGGGGCCTGGAATCCCAGCTGCTAAGGAGGCTGAGGCAGGAGAATTGCTTGAACCAAGGAAGCAGAGATTGTAGTGAGCCGAGATCATGCCATCGCACTCCAGCCTGGGCAACAGAGCGGGACTTTTTTTCAAAAAACACAAAAACAAACAACAACAAAAACAATTAAAGGATTTATGTTCCATTTAAATATTACAACATACACTATCCTGTCTTCCCAGTCAGATTGAGCTATGAAACCATGACAAGTGCATGGAGCAGCTATTTGAGCACCAGGAAAGGAAATGGTATGCAGCGGTTTGGGATGGCCCCAGCAGATGAAATACAACAGAGTCAGAGTGAGACTCCTGGATTTCCTCAGTGTCCCCTGACTGGGACTCCAGACAGCCTGAAACTTGAAGGGACACAAGCCTGAAAATTAAAAGAACTCCAGAAAGCCCTCTTGTTCAGGATTGAAGATAGGAAAATAAACTTATTTGGTCAAAGTGAAGGCTCAGTCCCCTGCACAAGCAGGTGGTCCATGCTCCTGTTCTCATTTCTCTTGCAGCAGTGCCTCTCCCTGGGTTCACACTGATGTCCTATGGATGGAGATGATACTTCCTGCAGCAGGTCACTCCTCAGCCCCTGTTACCTGAAGGGGCACTGTTCAATCACAATATGGTATGAGCCTCATGGATATCCCAAGGTCTAGTCGCCACGTTAGACATACAAAGAGAAGAAGGTAAATGAGCTCAAATGATTTATTTTATTTACCTAACGGATCAGAACAGTATCATTTTCATATGTAATCTAAGTTCAACTATTTATGTAACATTTTAGATACCTTTTCATGGCCACTGTTACTATTTTTTGAAGAATCTTTATGTGGAGATTGTGTGGCTGATGGGGATGTGAGTGGGTTTTCTGTTGACAAGGGTGGACTCTTGTGGCTTTCAAAGTGTCAACTTTGATAGGCTGAAGGAGGAGTGGAAAGAATGATTTTTTTTTCACAGGATGTGGAGGGTGGAGGTGGGCAGTGTCCATCCTGCAGCTCCCCCTGTGGGTGCATCTGTGGTCCCTGCTTGGGGTGAGGCTGCTTCTCCCGACCCCAGATTCCTGCAGGAAGATCTGACTCCACCTCTCCCTCAGACCCCAGAGCACCTGGTATGCCAAGCCCCCTTTCATTCCATACAAATGCAAGAAACACTCAGATCTCATTGGGCATTTGCAGACTCACAATCATCATTAGGAATAAACTGGTGCTTTCTGGTATACTGTGGCCTCCTCAGGTTCCTGATGGCTCAAGTTGGGGATGACTTGTGTTATTTTGGGATGCCCGGAAGCAGACTCTGAGATGGAGATCTGCTTGCACAGCTGGTGTGAAACTAAGTGAGGGAGGCAACACCGGGCACAAGAACACCCTGACCCACATTGAGTCTTCTACCATCCCAATAAGGAGCTGTGAAACTCGGAGGATTTTCTGTTTCTCCTGTACTGAAAGGGAGTCTTGAGATCTTCACCTCAGGCAGCTATGGAACCAAACCTTGTTGAGAAGGGGCATAAACCTGGAGGAGACAGTTTTCTCCGTTGACAGCTCTTCTCAGTGGGGGCACAGCTCTGAGCTGCCACAGCTACCAGCAGTGCTGAGTGGGCGTTCTAAGAAAAGGGAATATGGGTGGATCCCACAGTATCCACTCCACTGGTTTTCCTGAAGAGAATGGCAGGATGCCACGGCTGCCTGAGCTGGGCAGTTCTGGAAACTGACTCAGGATATTCAGGCCAAGGACTGGTTTTCATCCCCTATGGAAATCCAGAGCCCAACTAAGGATGTCGACCCTGGCCTGATATTCCAACCAGTCCCCATTTCCCCAAATCACAACTGAGTCCCCCAAACCTCAATGTATCCTTGTCACCTCAGCCCTAAATTCACTCTTGGTGCCCCCTCTGCAGAGCCTGCCTGGACAGCCTCTGAAAAGGGCAGCCTGTGTCTTGCTCCTCTATCTCCCTGTGTCACTGTGGGATGAGGAGCATTAATGTCCCACATCTTACAGTAATAGCCTCATCCCCAGCCTGGGCCCTGTTGATGGTCAGGTTGGCTGTGTTCTCCAAGTTGGAGCCAGAGAATCTCTCACAGATCCCTGAAGGCCGCCTGCTATCCCCATAGATGACCCAAACACGGGCCTGGCCTGGCTTCTGCCGGTACCATTGAGCACTTTTACTTCCAATGTTGCTTTCCCCACAGGTGATTCTGGTCATCTGTCCTGGGGCCACTGACACTGAGGGTGACTGTGTCAGTTCATAGGAGATGACAGAGTCTGCAAGGAAAGAAAAGGGGAGAGAAAAAAGTTGAAACTGAGCGGCTCAACCCAAGGACATTTTGCCACTTGCCGGGACTGGAGTGAGTCCCAGGAATAATAGAGCTCTCAGGGCACCCATGAGCACAGGAGCACAGAGTGGGGGCCTTTCATTCCCCCCACTCCCTCCCCCATCAGCAGGGTCATGAGCATCCTGCCTACCACACACAGGGCCCTGTTGAGCTAAGACTGAGGGCCAGGTTGAACCTAGAGGCCTGGGGCTGGACAGGTGGGTGAGACCCTGGGGCAGCACCTGTGCAGTGAGTCAGGAGACCCAGGAAAAGAGGGACCAGGCCATGGCTGAAGCACCTCCAATGCTGCCTGTCAAATCTGAGGCTGGGCAGGCTCCTCCCAGGTCTCCCTTAACCCCTTGTTGGAGAGAACGGCCTTTGCTGCCAATCAGCAGAGTCGGGGGCTGCTGCTGGAGGAGGCTTGTGGTTCCCAGAAGGGCTCAGCCCCAAGGGACCCAAAGAGGTTAGGGGTGGCCTTGCCCTCCCGCCCTTTGCCCACAGGATCTCCTATATGAATTGATTCCATATTCTCTGCAGACATCTCCACATCACACTGCGCTCAGTCTCACTCCTGGGCTCACTTGGTCATAGCAGAGCTCAGAGGTCATTTTGTCTGTATTTCCTGGGGGAATATGAAGTATTTCCTGTGGGATGGGTTTTGACCTAGTCTGGGAGGTGACCATAGAGTCATGCTGGTAACTGGGGAATTCTCTGGGGTCCCCAGTCCCCTCCTCCATTCTATCTTGGCTCAGGAGGGAGGTATTTAATTTTGCTCTAGGTCTCTAAATGTGTCCTGATCATAAATATTTTATGTTAGAGAGGAAATTTCTGGTGTAGGCCTAAATCTGTTTTAGATGGTACTTTCCAGAACCCAATGCAGGTTCCCTCTTCATCTCCGCTGTACAGGTGATAACGCACACCTTGGACAGGTGCAGGTTCACACCCCAGGGCACAGCCCCTGAGTGATAGAGGTCAATGAAATTCCTTATTTGCCAAGTGCACACAAAGTATTGGAAGATCCATGAGATGCTGAAAGTTTCTGCCTTGGCTGTGAGCTCCTAGGTAGGTCATAGCTGCTGTGCCTCAGTATCTCCAGGATGCTGAGGGACAGATGGGGAGGTGAAGGAAATGTTTGCTCCATAAGAGAAGGAGAGGGGGCTGCAAACTCCAAGACCCCCAGAAGTGAATGTTTATTATAAACAAGATGTCTTCAGTTGCTGGGGAAAATGTGTCAATGAATAAGAAATTATAGGTTAATGAGCAACTATTTTGTGACTCACAAGGAAATCAAGAGCTGTGATTTGGCAGCTTCTCCAGGAGAGAGTTGGGAAAGACCAGGGACAGTGGATGTGGAGGAGCAGCCAGGAAGGGAGAAGCCACTATGTCTGCAGGACAGGGACTCCCAGATCAAAGGAAAGTATGGAGGACACCTGTGACCTCAGGGAGGACACTGTACATGAGGGGGATGCTGTTTTAGCACAACTGGGTGTGGAGGAGGGGGCGTTGTGAGAAGTCAAGTGCCTGGATCTGTGTCAGAGAGAGTCAGCATGCAAAAGAACTGAAGATAAAATGTGATTCCAGAATGACTACATCAGTCAAGGACACAAGGACAATCCTCTAGGAAAATAAAGACCCTTTCCCTCCAGGTGTGAGGTCGTGGTCACTGGCACCTGCTGCATGTCGGCATCTCCCTGTCACTCAGGCCCGCCCCATCCCCAGGTAGCTTTGCCAGTTGATTCTCTACTTCCCCTGATGGCCGCTCCACACTGTGGGCTGGGAGCTCAGGGACTTCCTGGTTCTAGGTGTGGATTCAGAACCTGCTGCTCAGGTCCCTGATTCCCTGATCCATGGACTGCTCATTCTAAGGCAGGAATTCCCCTTCTCTGTGTGGTGCCTGCCTGACTCAAGACCAGGTACAAGGGGCTCAGCTTACCCAAGAAAATACAAATATATAGGCCGGGCGCGGTGGCTCAAGCCTGTAATCCCAGCACTTTGGGAGGCCGAGACGGGTGGATCACGAGGTCAGGAGATCGAGACCATCCTGGCTAACACGGTGAAACCCTGTCTCTACTAAAAAATACAAAAAACTAGCCGGGCGAGGTGGCGGGCGCCTGTAGTCCCAGCTACTCGGGAGGCTGAGGCAGGAGAATGGCGGGAACCCGGGAGGCGGAGCTTGCAGTGAGCTGAGATCCGGCCACAGCACTCCAGCCTGGGCTACAGAGCGAGACTCTGTCTCAAAAAAAAAAAAAAAAAAAAATATATATATATATGTGTGTGTGTGTGTGTGTGTGTATATGTGTGTGTGTGTATATATATGCACAGTGAATATATATACACACTGTGTATGTATATGTGTATATATATGTATACACAGTGAATATATATATATACACATACATGCATACACACACACACACACACAGTGAAAGCAAATCCCCAACATATTGGAGAGGAGTAACTTGTAAACCTGTAACAGGCATTGTGAGGGGAAGAGCTGGCTCAACGCCCTGCGGTGAGGAGTCTGCTGTGTGTGGGGATCTGAGAGGACATCACAAACCTGTGGGGACCTGGGACCCAGATCAGTCTGTGTCTGATGTGATACCATCTTGTAAATGAAGATCTGGGCCCAGGTGTGTGGTGCAGTTGGGTGTAAGGAGGAGAATTTTCTGTTTATGCTCTGGCGATCTGTGAGGGGCTGGGCATACACACTCCCTGGTGGTCCACAGGATGCAGTTGCTGATGCTGGAACTAATTAGACACAGGTGGGCTCAGGCAGGCCCTTCACCTGTCCCTACCTGGGGTTGAAGCCACTAGGGGGTGGTGGCTAAACTGCCTCAGCTGTCTTCCCAGTGCTCACCTTGCAGCCATGGGGAAATTAAGCTTTTGTCACTTCCATTGATCCTGGATCATCCTCAGTGCACCCAGCAAAAGCAGGTTGACTGTTTTCTGGAAAGTTCTCTGGGAGCTCCCCATTTAACTCAGCCATGCAGAGCAGATGATGCGGCACCCCTTTCAGGGGACACCTGGTTGTTCTCAGGCTCTTACACCAGAGGAAGACAAAGGCCTTGGCATAGCTGGGGTGTCTGCTGTACCAGTGGGTAGGTGTCTGCAGAGAACAGGTTTCCTTGAATGTCACCATGCTTCACAGCATGTTAACATGTGACAGCAATGCATCAGTAACATTTTTTGGCTCATCAGTCTGGATAGAGAAGCAGCTGTTTGCCAGATTATTGCATAAAATCTTTGCGCAACACTTGCTGTGCCTTCCACGTGCTGACTCATCATATGTGGCGCATGGTCTTTCCCATGCCCTTTCCTGCTCCTGGTTCAGGCCTTGTTCCTTCCACACCATGGCATCCCTAGGTCCTCACTGAACCTGTATTGTTCCTGCTCTGGGCAAGCCTTCTGCTACTAATTAACCTGATTCCTCCGTCTCTTCTCTCAAAGTCACTTTGTGAACCTGAGTTTCCACCTCAGTTTACTGTGAGAGTCAATGGCTGTTAAAAGTCATCTTCTCCTTCACCTGTGTAATGGCCATGATTGGCAGTGAAGGGCTTCTTCTTACAGAGCACCTGCTGAATGCTAGTGGCTGGGTGGTGGAGATTCAGTACTGGAAATTCCATCTGTAGGATACACAGTTCCCTCAACTTCTAAATGCATCGATAGGTCCTGCCCACACACACATCGGTGGGTAGGGCCATCATCAGCTGCTATCTCCCCTCTCTCAACCCAGTGCCCAAAAGTCATAGCGCCCTTCCCCTTGATGGTGAAAACATCAAATGGATTCATCCCTTGAGCAAGGTCTTACTGCATGCAATGAACCTGGTCCAACAGTGCACCAGAAACTTGAGTTTTCTTGTGGAACTTTTGTTGGGTTCCAAGGAATACTGCTTGAAAAATGTTGGATCAGAGAGAAATAGCGACCAAACATCAGCATGGGAAACTTAAGGGTCCTGGTTGGTAAGGAAATTAAACAACTGTAAGAGACATTCTTGTGCAACTGGGAAACATGACTACTGTCTGCATAGGAGAGAGCTGTTAGTATTCTCACTTGTGATAATGAGAGAGACAGAGACCCCAGTACGGCAGTGTCCACAGTTGTTGCATCCTGAAAGAGTATATATATATATATATGTGCTGATGACAGTAATCTGTAAACTTTAGTGTATACACATGATTTCACGATTAAACCAGTTGTACTTTTTTTTTAAAAGGTGGTATGGACCCAAAGAGTGAGCAGCAGCAAGATTTGTTGTGAAGAGTGAAATCACAAAGCTTCCACAACGTGGAAGGGGACCCAAGCGGGTCGCCCTAAACCAGTTGTACTTTTAAAGAAGGAAATAAAGACTGAGACATCCAAGTCAGAAAAGAAATCCCAATAAGCCTGGCCCTAGAGACTGGAATCAGACATCTCTCCTGGGAAAGGGCACCACCTTCACCCAGGATCTTCCCTTCACAGCTACAGTCCTGGGCCATGGAGCAGAGGTGCAGGTCCCAGGCTTGGCATCCAGGGTTTCTTAGTGAGCTCCTCAGAAAGCAGCCCAGAGCCCAAAGATAAAATCCACACCAACAGGGCGCTGGAGGCACATCCAGTCAGGCCTGACCTACCTGGGGAAGGTGATGGGACTTTGGGGACCCTGGGAGGTCAGTGTGCCCCAAACACCATTCCCAGGTGGGACCAAAGGTAGTGTCTGTGCTTCCTCTTCAGTTTTTGTGAAATATCAGCACAGAAAGGACCCTGGGACCAAAAGGGGCTGGGTCTCCAGTCCTCCTCAGGCCTCAGGCACCCTATCAGAATGTGGGGGTCAACTCATCTGGAAACCAGAGGAGACATAGCCCCTGGGGCTTCCACTGAACTGGTTTCACCCAAGGAAAAGAGAAATTCCACACGACTGTGCCCTCTGTGACAGCTCTCTCCTCCCCTGCATGACGTATGATTGCATCTGGGGCCATGTGCTGTTGTGTGGATTTCTAAACTGTTGATGTACACCACAAACCTGACAAAGGTCCCTGCAGCTCTGACCAGCATCCCCCTGTCCACTTCTCATTGGACACATGCAGGCCCTGAGAGGATACAGAAGCCGCTCAGAATCACCAGCCCTGTAGGGGTCAGGTTAGGACCAGAGAGGACACCTGACCCTGAGGTCTGACCTACAGCTGCTCAGAGGGCAGGTGAGAATGAGAACCAGGCCAAGGTGGGACAGTTCTGTTGCAATTCCTTATCTGTCTGTGTTACTATGAGTCCCTGCCAGTTGCTCCCACTGCTATTATCTGCAGCACAGTAGTAGCTTCATTGAGGGTCTGGGCCCCACTAATGGTCAGGATGGCCATGTTCCTTGATTTGGAGCCTAAGAATTGGGCAGAGGTCCCTGAGGGTCACTTGTTGTTATACTAGATGACCAGCACGAGGCCTGACATGGCATCTGCTGGTTCCTAAAGGCACATTTATCCTGAGGTTATCTCCAGTGCATGTGATCATGGTTGTCAGTCTCAGGGCCACCAACACTGAGACCAGCTGTCTCTGCATGTAGGAGGCACAGGGCTGAGAGAAGAGAAGAGGAAGGGAGGCAAGGGGAGGGGCGGGAAGGGAAGAGGAGAGGAGAAGAGAAGGAGAGGAGAAGGAGAGAAGGGAGAGGGGAGGGGAGAGGAGGGGAGAGGAGAGGAGAGAAGAGAGGAGAGGAGGACTTGAGGATGAAAGGTCCATTTACAGAAGATCCCAACCCAGAGCTGAAGTCAGGGTTTGGGCAGGCCAATTGCAGTGTAATATATTGAGTGGTTTAATGGAGGGTCTTTCACCCTTTGTAAAATGTCTTTTAAAATATTTTCACATTATTGCCTTATACATTTTTCACAATTGAAATAATTAATGTTTCCTATCTGAATATAAAAATCCTTTTTTCTTAGTGTTGCTGAAACTTTAACTGGGTAGCAAGATGTGGTTGAGGGGATCCCAGGGTACGTGGGGGCCAAGGATTGGCATTTTATGGTCAGTGACACTGTGGTTTGGTTGCCATAATGCATAGCTGAGCCAAAAAGGAATCAGAATAATCACACAAGATCATGGGTGTGGTCTAGGTGGTCGTAGTGTCCCAGACTGGAAGCAGGTGAGCAGCCCTCCTCTACTTATTGTTTTGAATGAGCAGAAAGCTCCATTTGAGAAAGACTGTGAGGGCTCCTGAGCCTCGGCAGGGGTTCTGTGTCATTGTGGCCACACAGCTCACCATGGGGCCCAAGTTGCTGATATGCTAGGTTTGTTCTGAACCATACTCCCGGGTGACCATTTCCAGCAGCTCCCCAATCACATGGCAGGGATGTATTTGTAACTTGAGGGACTAGGTTATGAGGCCCAAGTAAGTTGCATGAAGAGTTGGCCAAATAGTCATGACCCGAGCCCTGGGTCATGCCATCCTCTCAGCTTATAGCCTTGGCCTCCTGAGGTGCTCTCTGAGATCAGCTGCCTAGAAGGAGGCACTTACACTGGGGTTACAGAGGTTTCTACAGGACACGCAGCCACTACTGGTGTGGACAATACTGTACTCCACCTGGCCTCTGAGAATACCTGAACAGCAGTAGTGGAAAAACATTCTCCTTAAAGCAGAATTTTAAACAGTGAAAATGGTTCATGTCACCTGCAAAGAGATGGGCAGAGGTTCCTAATTCGTGGGCTGTGAAGGGTCCTGGAAGATGGTCAAGTATATTCAGGGGCTTGGGAGAGACACAATAAGAATGTTGATCACAAAGATGTCTGGGTAGAGATGTGTCGGTAGACCTCCTCCAGTGGGCAGAAAGCATGAGAATTTTTTTCCATATGCAAATACTCACCAAGTCTGATGTGAAAAGGAAGTGATTTTGTTAATCAGGTAGTAGGGTAACCTGTTCTATGGACACCAGGCAGTGTCCCTCAACCACTCCTGTCATTGTCCAATGGGATCCATAAAAAAGTGCCCCTGGTGTCAGGGATAGAGGCTGACAATGGGCTCACCAATGTGAATTTCCACTAACTGGAGCTGGCCTGGCTGAAGCAACTGTGGAGTGACCATCTGTCAACAGCGGAGACCAACACGGAGATTCCTACAGGATGACCTTCTCTGTGGAAAACAGTCAGGGTCCTGCTTGATATTAATTTATTAGAGCTCTTCCATCATGGCAGAGATAGCTCTTTTTCTTACTAGAATTGACATTTACTCTACACAGGATTTACTTTCATTGACAGAAGTGCTTCTGCCAAAACTGTTATCTCTGGATTACAGAACGACACACCCATCATGATGGTATTCCACAGGAGGTTCTGACCAAGGAACTCATTTCACAGCAAACAAAGGACTATGGGCATTTTCTCATGACATTCAAGAGTCTTACTACTGTCCCCAACATTCTGAGGCATGTGGCATATATGAATAGTTTAATGACAACTTGAAGACTCCATGACTGAACCAGGCAAGTGGCAAGTATGTGTAGGGTTGGGCAATGTCTTCCAGAATGGGGCGTGTGCTGTGCAACAGTGTCCAATATATGGTGCTCTTTCTCCCACAGTCAGGATCCATGTGTCCAGAATCAAGGAGTAAATTGTAGTGGCTCCACTCAAAAATGTCTTTAGTGATCCATTAGCAAAACTTTAACATCCTCTCCTCCTGACCTCAGGCTCTATGGGTCTAGAGGTCTTAAGTGCACTGGGGAAATGCATTCCCAGGGGATACAAAAATGACTGCAGTGAACTGAGACCTGAGAGTTCCCCACGTCCCTCTGGATATGCCTGCATGAATGTCTCTCTGTGTCTGTCTTTCCATTCAGACTCTCCATCAACAACTCAAACCCCAGGCAAAGAAACGGGACAGCCTGATCCTGCAAGGTGCAAATCCACTCCTGACTGACTCCTCTGCAGAGCCTGCCTGGAGGGCTGGAGGGAACAGCAGCCTGGGGGTCTCAGATTGGGTTGAATTGGGCCAAGCCTGCTCATGGCTTTGTCCACAGTCTTTGTCCCTCTTCTATTTCACAGAAGAGGATGAAATAGAGAGGGAGGGGTTTATGTCTCACTTCCCCATATGCTTCTGTCACTGTGGGATGATTACCACTGCTGTCTGCTGATTGACAGTAATAGTCAGCCTCGTCTTCTGCCTGGGCCCCACTGATGGTCAAGGTGACTGTTGTCCCTGAGCTGGAGCTAGAGAATCGCTCAGGGATCCCTGAGGGCCTCTCGCTGTCTTTATATATCACCAGCACAGGGGCCTGGCCTGGCTTCTGCTGGAACCACTGAGCATATTTTTTTGCCAGTGTATCTCCAGAGCAGGTGATCCTGGCCATCTGTCCTGTGGACACTGACACTGAGGGTGGCTGTGTCAGCTCATAGGAGGCCTCAGAGCCTGCAAGGAAGAACAGGAGAGGGGGTTTGAAGATGAAGGACCCATTCCCAGGAGTCCCACCCAGAGGCTGTGTCTGGGCTTTGCTCAGGATTTAGGGTAGGCTCAACTTGGGATCTGTGGGGACTGAGTCTGGGGCAGGGCCAGGGGTCAGCACCTGTACAGAGAGTGAGAAAAGGGAGCAGAACAGTGGTCCAGGTCATGGTGAGACACCCAGAGCTCTTCCTCCTAGAACCACAGCACAGCTGGGCTCCCCAGGCCGCTCTTATTCCCTCTCAGGCTTTTGGGGCAGTCAGTGTTTAGTGTTTATGCAAATTTACGTCCTCTGAGACTCCTCCTGGAGAGATGTGACTCAAACCAGCTGCAGTGGCAGCACAGGAGACAGGAGGAAGAAGCAGGGTCTCAGATTAGAAAATCAGCTGCAGCCTTCAAGCTCTGTGATCACAGTCACCTTTCTGGGAATTGATCTCATGACCACTGTCCCAAACCTCACTGACCTGGGGTCTGTCCTGGACCAGGTTCAGCAGAGCTGTGGACCTTCCAGGAGGTTGGCCATGGGGCTGAGCTGGCCTCTGCTGAGAGATCATGATGACACCTGACTCAGCAGCACTTGGACCAGGGACCCATCATCTTCCTTCTGCTGGTCCCTCAACTCAGTCCCCTCTTGTTCTTTCCATTTAAATGCTGCGCTGTGTCATCAGGACACTTGCTAATTACTTCACTAGGAATAGTTGGGTCATTTAAGCAAGCACACACCCCTGTGGAGTCAACAGGGCCTCTGGTCTCATTTCAGCCATGGTGCTGCTCCTTCTACATCACCCCTTATTGCCACAAGAGATTTAGCATTGACACCCTTAGCTCAGCCAGAATTTATGTATGTTTTTCTCATCAATGTTATATGAAAACTTGCAAAAAGCAGCAGAAAACCACACTGGACTGACAATCTAACTTTAGGCCCCATGGTCTCTGCACAGCACGTGAGCTCCAGAGGGTGGGTGGTTCCTGGTTACTCCAGCCAGGCTCCTGGTCATTGTCCCATCACTGACATGGACAGTGCCAGGGTCAAGGCTGTGGCCTGAAGCAGGGGAGGAGCCCTGTCCCTCTGGAAAGCATCTCCTGAGGGATGCTCCTGAGGATGCTCCATGCAGGGATCAGGGCCCCAAAATGCTTCACCCCACCCACCTGTGACTCCCCTGAGCACAGGAGCTGCCCCCTGAGTCAGAGTCCACCTGGAGCTGGAAGGAAAGGCAGAGGGAGGAGGGGGCCGGTATATCTGGAAGTGCCCAGGACAGAGGGCACAGCTCCCCAGGACACTGCTGGACAGGGCAGAACAAGGCCCTGAGAGTTGCAGGGGGCTCAGGCAGCCATCCTGGGTGAAGGACTCGGGCCCTGGGAGCCCCATGCTCTCACACTGTGCCCCCTCCTAGAGCACCTCGACCTCGGGACGTCTCCCAGAGAATCCTCTTCCTGAGGAAGCTGCCCAAGCTGCCACCTGGGCTCAGCCTCTTCTAGCTGCATTTCCCAGGTGAGGCCTTCACTGTGCCAGGCTTCTGTTGGTGTCCTTGGGTGACACTGTATGAGTCTGACCCTCAGAATGTGGTCAGTATAATCTGAGGGGATAGGATGAACTGTCTTCACTTTCAGTCTGAACACCGACTCTTGGACACCTATTGAACCCCAGGCTGGCCTTCCTCTTTGCCCCAGCTGGGCAGCCCCAGCCTCTCTCCTGACTGCTCCTGGCTACAGCTCTGCTGCCCCCAGCTGGTGGAGGAGACTCAGCCCAGGAGATTTCTTCTTCCAGGTGACCCCACAGTACCTGTCGCCTCAGAAGTTGAGGATGAGAGAGTCCAGTCCCATTCTGTGCCAGTGTGACCCAATCTGCCCTGCCCAGCCCAGCACAGAGAGGTCACACCTGCAGTGCAGGGAGGTGGGGCAGGTGCAATTGCTATAAAAGTGTCTCAGGGTTGAAATGCCCTTCTCTGATTTTGTTCAGTCAGGACTAATTAGAGTGAGTTAATTGAAGCTCTTCTGCAAAAGTTTCAACGTTTAGAGAGACGCATGTGCCATCCTACAGGGACCCAGGTTTCCTATGCACTTAGGATGCAAACTGGTGCACCTCCCACCCAGTAAGAGCAGCTATGATTGATTGCCATCACTGCATGTTTCTTGCACTGCAACTTTGTTGTGAGCTAACATCACCATCGTCGGCACCATCAATTTCATGTGTACGGTTATTTCATTGCACACTTCTCAGAGCTTGTGCCGGGAGGATTTCTACACTAGTCTAGTCTGTTTTCCTGATGAAACTGGGACTCTCCTGCTTATTCTCAGCTGGGGGCTGCTGTTCCCACCATACAGAAAACAAGCTCTTTTGAACCCTTTTCTTGGAATCCCTGCAGAGGAAAGACAAGAAGTTCCATGTCTGAAACCCACTGAAGCCCATTGAATGACATCCCCTCATCAGGCTTTAATTAATATGACATTCGTTGCTCTTCTGTCTTTTAATTTTGAATGAAGAAAAGGGCTTCTTCAGCTCAGTATAAGCCTCCTCACTTTGCAGCAGGTAACACTGTGGCTCAAAGAGACTAAGTGGCTCAGGAGAACAGAAAACAGTGGGGGCAAGTCCAGGAGCTGACCCAGGTGTCTGGATTTCAGAACCTGGGCACTTCGGGGTAGAGCTTAACCAGGGTGGGGAGGGAGGGGGCATCAGGGCCAGGCAGGCTTCAGGGATGTGTCCTGTGAACACACTGACGTCCCCTGTCATAGCCTAGCCATGCTGAGGA